GGAAGTATTCTCCATCTGACTTTTCTCCTAAGCAGAGAGCCCGGTGCAATCCTTGCCCCTCTGGCACCACTCTCACTTCTGGGAAGTCTTTCAAATTGCCTGCTCTGCTTTTTTCTCAGGGGGGGCCAGTAGAGCATGCCTGTTCTCTACAAGCAGCTGGGATCTCAGCCTCCCCGAGTGCTCCACCTGTCTCTGTTGTCCAGCCCCACCAATCACCAGGGCACTATGTAATGTGAGTTAGTGTTCCCAGAGCAGATCTCCAGGGCCAGTTGTTCAGTGGTCCTGGGCTTGTACTCCCTTCCCACTCCGTTCCTCTTCTTCCTGCCTGTGGGCTGGGATGGGGGGAGGGTTTGGGTCCCACCAGATCATGGCTTTGCCACTTTACCTTTTTTTATAGGGTCTTCTCTTCTTTCCCAGGTGTAGGTAGTCTGTTCTGCAGTCTTTAGGTCATTTTCAGGATTCGTTGTATTTGCTGTATTTTCGTGTTTTATGTGATTTTGGGAGGAGATATTTGCCTTGCCTTCCTACACTGCTGTCTTTTTCCCAGAATTGTAGTACTGAATTTATATTAAAATTTACTCACTTGTTCCTAAAATATCTTTTGCAGCTTGTTTATTAAAATCAGGAACCCATCAAGGACTGCAGTTTCCATTTGGTATTTAGGCCATACAGGGAATTTCCAGTCTTGCAGTCTACTTCAGATATCCTTATTCAGCCTCTTTCCGGAAATTATTGGCATATTTTTTCATGCACACATTAACACTTAATTGTATAGCATCTGATTGGAAAGTTTATTAAATTGAAGAGCTAGTTGATTTAGTACCAGGCCCTCTGAGGCTCTTAAAGGATATAGAAGTTTGAACTCTCTTCTTAGATGGGTATTTAAATTTTCAAGCACATACGGCTACGTAGAACAGAGGCATTTTAAATCAGATTGTAGTACAGAGTTTTATGTAGACTGGAGCATTCCACTGAAAGTGAAGAATCACACTCATCATTTGAATCCACAGTCTGATAGTTCACACTTTATATAAAAATTAACTCAAAATAGATGAAAGACTTAAATGTAAGAGCTAAAACTATAAAACTCTTAGAAGAAAACACAGGTAAAAGTCCACATGACCATGGCAATAGTTCTTTAGATGTGATAACAAATGCAAAAGCAATCAAAGAAAAAACTGGATTTCATCAAAATGAATAACTTGTGCGTCAAAAGGACATCATCAAGAAGGTAAAAATAATTCACAGGATCACAGGATGGGAGAAAATATTTGCAAATCATATAGCTGATAAGCATCTAGTATATAGGATATGTAAAATACAACTCAACAATAAGACAATCCAATTTAAAAATGAGCAAAGGACTTGAGTAGACATTTCTCCAAAGAACATACACAAATGGTACATGAAATGATGCTCGATGATATTAGTCATTATGGAAATACAAATAAAAATGGCAATGAGATCACTTCACACCCACTAGGCTGGATGTAATTTAAAAAAGACAATAATGAATGTTGAGGAGGAAGTAACATACACTCGTGGTAATGTAAAATGATGCACCTGATATGGAAAACAGTTTGGCAGTTTCTCAAAAAGTTAAATATAGAATTACCACATGACCCAGCAATTCTACTCTAGGTATCCACCCAAGAGAACTGAAAAAATTTGTTCACATCAGAACGTGCACAGGAATGTTCAAAGCAGCATATTCATAATAGACAAAAAGTGGAAATAACTCAATGTATATCAGATAAATGGATAAACAAAATGAGGAAAATTCATACAATGAAATGTATTTAGAATGAAATACTGATTCATGCTACAACATGAAGGAATGTTGAAAACATTATTTTAAATGAAAAAAACATGCAAAGTCTACATAGAAAAAATTTAGAAGTCTAAAACAAGAAAATTTATATTTGTATATCTTCTTTGAAGAAATGTCTGTTCAAGTCCTTTGCCCATTTTTAAATTGGGTCATTTGTGTTACTATTGTTGAGTTGAAGTTTATGTATTTTGGATACTAGATGCTTATCAGATAAATGACTTGCAAATATTTACTCCCATTCTGTGGGTTGTCTTTGCTTTCTTGACAGAGTTCTTTTCTATTAGTTATTTTTTATAATTTCTCTTTATTGATATCCTTTATTTGGTGAGATATGTTCATACTTTAGTTCCTTAGACATGATTTCCTTTAGTTTTGACCCTATTTAAAACAGTTGATTATAGTCTTTGCCTAGCAAATTCAATGTCAGGGACTCCTCAGGGAAAGTTTCTTATTCACTTTTATTTCTTGGGCACAGGCCATATTTATTTCTTTGCATAACTTTGCATAACTTTCGAAGACCTTTGGAGGAGATATAACCCTGTTCAACTCCCAGTGGTAGCTTCTAGGCTGCTGGTTTTCACCATGAATTTGGGAGCTGCTGGTTTACAAAGCTACCAGGAGAAGGAAGAGGGGAATAAATACAGGGAAAGTTAAGAGTACCACTGGGTCATATGCTTAGTTTATGCTTTGACTTAAAAAAAAAGCTCAACTGTTTTTCAAAGTGACTACAATTTTACATCCCTATCAACAATGTATACCAGTTTTTCCACATCCTCCCCAATATTTTTTAACCTTTTGATAGCTTTTCTATTGGGTGTGAAGTGGTGTGTGTGTGTGTGTGTGTGTGTGTGTATACATATATATATATATTTTTTGAGAAGCAAAACTGTATTCACAGATGACATGATCATATGTAGAAAATCCTATGGAATCTACAACAAAGTTAACAACTAATTTATAAGTTTATCAAGCTTGTGGGATAGAAGATCAATATGCCAAAACAAATTGTATTTCTATGTATCAGCAACAAACAAGCAGAAATTAAAATTTTAAATGCCACCAAAATAGTCTAAAAACATCAAATACTTATGGAAATCTTACAAAAGATGTAAAAGAACTGTACACTTAAAACTACGAAACATTGATGAGAGATATTAAAGAAAACCTAAACAAATAGAAATAAATACTGTGTTTATAGAGGCCTCAACGTTGTAGTAGACCAAGGAGGATGTCATCAAAATATAGAATTTTAGAAGTTGGGATTCAGAGAGTGTTTGGTTCTCAAGGATAACAAAATTATGAATGTGCTCATGTTGTTAGTTGTTGAAAAGACTGAAAATGTTAGGATATCAACTGGGTGGACCTTTCTGCCCTATGCTGAGGGCACGGAGGAGGAGGGCAAAGGACGTGTGGTGGGCAGAATGTCTGAAGTGGTTCGTTCATTGTGCTTTTCCATGTCTATTTTTGCTTAGATTATATCCTCAGATCTTGGTATAGTGCCTGGCATATAGTAGTCACTAAATAAGTGTCATGGAAATAAAAAAAACAGTAAATATAGTTTTATAGGTGGTACTTTTAAGTTGGATTGTTATCCTAAGTTAATTTTTTGGCCATTTATGTAGGGAGACACTGAGGTAGAACAAAAGCCAATCCCAAAGACTTATGGCAGTAAACTGTAGAAACAAAGAAAGATCCCCAAATTTCTGTCACTGAGATATTTTCACCTGTGCTATGATACTTTGTCAGTGATGAGAATATGCTTCATTCATTTGATAAAGTTTTTAAATGCCATCTTTGTTTTTGGCACTGTACTGGGCATTGGGGATATAGCTTGAACAACAAAGACAAGGAAACCCTTCAGCCATTTTAAGGAATTTTAAATTTGTCCTTTAGGAGGGGGAATTCTTGAAGGATGTTAAGCAGAGAAGTAGCATGATCACACATGCGATCTTAAAATAGTACTGTGACTTCATTGTGGACAGTGGATTGGAGGAAATTAGACAGTATTCAGGAAGACCGGTTGGTTGTGTAGCAATTTTGGTGAGAGAACTCAGGGAACTTGAACTAAGGAGAGTAGAGAACAGCTAAGGACTGTATAGGAGATGAAGGAGAAAAATGCCTTTATTTCTGGCTTGAGCCATGGGGTCAGTGTGGGTTCCATTCTCTGAGCTAAAGGACTGTCGGGAACAAATAGGCTTGGGGGAGAAGATGATGCATTTAGTTTGGAATTTCTGAGTTTTAGTGGCTTGTGGATTAGCCTTGTGGGACATCTTGTGGATTCCATTCCTTGTGGAAAACAGGAGAGATCTTGGTCAGAGATAGAAAATTGGAAATCACTAGTATATGGATAGTTAGTAACACTGTAAGAATAGATGAGATTGAGATAGAGCAGCCAATAGGTGGGAAAAGCCCAAGAGAGTATGTTTTTCTCATAACTAAGTGAAGAAAGTTTCAACAACAAAAAGTGTGGGTGAGATGACCTAGAAAACATGGTGTAGGAAAAGAGAAAGCCTAAGACCAGAACCCTACATTTAAGGGACAGATAGAGAAAGAGGGACTTCTGCAGACATAAAAGGAGATTGGGGGAATATTAGGTCCCAAAACTCAGAAATGGAGGGGTGGTTGGCAACATTTTTATGTTAAGATATCAAGTAAGATATGTATTGAGGTGTGTCTTGGATTTAGCAACAGTGAAGTTGTTGACTTTGGCTTGGGAAGTTTAGTAGAATTGGGAGCAGAAGAGATTACATTACCTTGAGGAGTGAATGAATGATCAGAAAGTGAGTCTGAGTAAGGATACTGTCTTCAAGAGGTTCAGCTGTGAAGGAGATGAGAGAAAGGGCAGTACTGGAGTGTGACGTAGGGTTAAAGGAAAGTTACCTCATTTTATTAAGTTCCTTTGATTCTTTTCACTTTCAGAAATACGATTACCTCTTTACTATTATATTTGTTTTCTTGGCTTCATTTCTTTTAGAGATGATGGGTGGAGCAAGGACTGAAAATACGTAATTATTTAGCTACAGAATATTAACCATTATGTAGTTAATGGTTTGCTTGTGGTAAGAAAATAGCTTTACTGTCTTAATTAGCTAGGTTTTCTTTGTATTGTTTTTAGAGATTCTATTGATAATGAAGGCTCATTTTAATGTATCTTCTGTTTGTTTTTTAGATCATTCATCGAGATATAAAACCTGAAAATATTTTAGTTTCCCAGTCAGGTATTATTAAGCTCTGTGATTTTGGTTTTGCACGGACACTAGCAGCTCCTGGGGACATTTATACAGACTACGTGGCTACACGCTGGTACAGAGCTCCAGAATTAGTACTAAAAGATACCTCTTACGGAAAGTATGTATATTTTGGGATCCTGTCTGGCCTTTCTTGGTCATGTCTTTTTCTCTTGTGTATCTGTCACCCCTACTACTGAAGCCCTCTGAATTCTGTGTCTGGGTTGGGGCTAAGAAAGGGACACTTTAAAACAGGACAGAGACCCTATAGGCACCTGCCCTGCTTGCTATTTATGTTGGCATGCTTGCCCTCTGGGGCTAAGTGGCCAATGCAGGCATCTTTCAGGCTGCATCTATGCTTGCTTTAAGTTGTGGCTCATCCTTTGCGAGTTGCCTCCTGTGCTTATGTTTAGGGTCTACATTCTGCAAATATTTTAAATTGTGCCAGTGTTACCACAGAAACTATCAAGTATCCTATATCCTGGTAGATGGCACTCTCTTTGTGAAGACTGGCAAATAATCACTTTCAAATTGTACTGTTTTAGATGCCTCAAAAAGTAGCATGGTCTAAGTATATTATGAAACAATGCAAACAACATATGAAACAGAAAACTGATATACAAATAATGCATCTCGAAGAACACAAAGGAACCAAGTTGTACAGCTTAATACAAGAAATGGGTGGGTGGGTGGGTGGGGTTGGAAAATCCTCACATGCTTTTCCTAGAAACTATTATTCTGCTTTTGTAATAATATATTAAAGAGTACTTACTTTATGCCAGAAACTTCTAAATGCTTTATACTGATTACATCATTTAATTTTCACAACAGTCTGTTATGAAGGTACAACTATTATCATCCCCACTTTAAATAAGAGGACACTCAGGGACAGAAAGGTAAACTAATTTGACCGATGTCACTCTAGAGTACCTTTTCAACTGTACTTACCACTGATGCCCTACACAGTCCATTTCTGTGCCTTAGTTTCTTTGTATCATAGAACCAATAAAAGGACCTGAGGTTTGTTCATAGGTTTGTTGTGAGGATTAAATGATTTAGTGAATGAAAAAGATTAAAACATACTAAATGCTCAATAAATGTAGCCTCCATAAGGTCACTCTGTGCTGCAGTTTTATCCTCTCTTCATGATGTAGCTTAAATTCTTTTTCTGATGCACTAATTCCTATCCCATTGACTCCAAATCATATCCCTTTCTTTTTTTTTTT